GTTCAATAGTTTTCTTGGCTCTATCCATTGCGTCATTAATATACCCAACTAGTGTTTTTTTCCATCCACCAAACAAAGCATTTCCATCAAAGGACCACCAACTTTAAGTGCGTAGACAACATCTTTCCTAATCATGTAATCAGAGAAAGAATTTCTATTTTAGCCAGAAAGACATGTGACAGTAAAACATAGGTGTACAAAAATAAGAGATTGACACCTTACCCCATAATTTCCTTTGGAAATCTTCTTGAAGTCCATTTGGTTAAGAGGATCACAGTTCTCAAGTTTTTTCTTTTGTATGTACATAACTAGTAAAGTACAAGTTTCACCAAATTTATATTATTTGCGAATTTCCTCTTTAAGTTCAAGAAAAACAACCTTTGACTAATGTAAGAATGGATCTTGATGGCCTTCTTAAAAACTGTTAAAGTAAGTATTATAGTAATTAGTAGCTAATAAGTAGTACTCCCTCTGTTTCAAAAAGAATGATATAGTCTGACTTGGAACGAAGTTTAAGAAAAGAAAGAAGAATTTTTAATCTTGTGGGTCTAAATTAAAGTTATGTCAAATGTACCAAAATGTTTTTTAATCTTGTGGTGTTAAAAATACCATGTGGAAAGTTGAAGCAAAAGTGTTGGCAAAAAAGGAAATAGGGTCATTCTTTTTTTAATAGACTAAAAAGGAAATAGCGACATTCTTTTTTAAACGGAATGAGTGAGTAAAGATAAACAAATATAAAGGATATGTTAGGTATATTATTTGAAGCATATTAGTTAATCTTGAATATCTCACCAAATATCAAATTGATGTAATGGGAAATACATAGAGTCCAGTAAATGTGTGGGTTCACACTAATCATCATGTCACCTACTTTTTTAACATTCTCACTATCTTTATCAATGAAAACTTGTATGATATTTTTCAAATTAGGTTATGTCAATAGTTTTCTTGAACAAGTTGTACATTTTGTAGAATTGGTAGATTTGTAGCTAGCATCTACAAAACCAAGAAAAACACTCCTTATTGGAGAATTCACCAAAATATTGATGATCATTTTAACATTTTGTGTTTGCCATTGAACACCCAAATTTTCTCTATTGCAATTTATGATCCACAACAATGTTGCCAACTTTTTTCACCTATTGTTTAAGTAAGTAACTCTAAAACTTCATGAAAAGCAGGAGGCTTCATTCCTTTGCCATGCGGTCCTACAACCTCAATGATTTATCAAATTCTTTGTAATTAAAAATTTGAAAGGGAGTTCACATCGTACATCCATAATGCAAAAGCACTTACCACGAACTCCTTTAGAATCTTCTTGGTTTCATCAAATCCTTATCCAATTTAAAGTCTCCCTTTTGTTGTGATTTTTTGTAAAAAAAATAAACTTTAAGAGGACCTTCCGTCATAGTCCCTTCTACGGAGGATCCATTTCCATTAGAAGACATCTTTTGAGTTTTTGAGGGAGTAATCACTTCATCGTATTAATTTATATCATCATCATCACCATCAGTAACATTAACCACAAGTTTATATCTCATATGATTTAACGGATTGCTATGGACATTATTTTTAACGTATTCATGCATTTCTTCCCTAACTTCCACTGGAAAACTTAATCGTCATTTCACATTTTTATTTTCACCCATCAATTGCCGCTTGTGCTGATTAATACAAACATTGGAAGTATTTTCACCAAACTTACATATAACTATATCTTTTGTGGGCCTTGAAATCTGCATTCAATATATCTATGAATGGTCTTTTTGTCTGCTACCATCAGACGCCATTGAAATTGTTGTTTATGCACAAAGAATTACTTTATTGATTAGTTATAAAACAAATTGAATTGGGTAGAAACAAAAATAGGAGAAGTTTTATTTTTAAATTTAAAAGGGGCAGATTGCAAAAAATTCAAAACACAATATAAAAATAAAAGGTTTAGCGTTTTCTAAGCTACCACCTTTTGTGTTAGCCTTTTCTTTCACTTAAACATTTCTTCCCCAGTTGATAAACATAGAAGATGACAGCAGACATGATTTATTTTGCAAGAGGATCCAAATCTTATGACGTCACGAGAAACACCAAGAGAGATGGCTCCTCGTTCGAATGGACTGAAAGAGATGGAAACCTATTTAGGAGAAAAATCTTCAGTAGCAGTGCAATGATATGGTTGTGCGACAAACTTAAGGAATCTTCAAGAGTTAAGTGAAACTTTTTGAAAAGATGGAAACTCTATGAGTATTTCGCAGAGATTTATTGCTCAAGAAATTACAATCAATTTGGTCGCTATATTATCATTAGTATTCAAAGCAAAAAAAGAAAAATCATTATAGTCCCCGAAATTGCTTTTAATGCTTGTTGGATGGATATAGCCCACAAGTTAGAAAAGTTCATTGATTACAAAAGATAAAGGACGGTCACAGTCCCTTATAGAACTATCGAGGAAGGGCTATTTTCCTTGGACGCTGTCAAAAGAAATAAATGGACATCCAGGGAACTGAATGCAGCTGAAATTCAGGAACAAGAAGGGATTTTAAAAATTTTAGGCGGACAGAATCACATAATGCTCTTAGTAGAATTATGGTCGGCACCTCCCCACAAGGCATCCAAGAATCCCCAACCGTAACGGAGGCTCATCGTTAGGCTAGCAACTTCTGGAAACAGTCACATGGGATCAACATTTATTAAATGGGTCATTCACACTTCCTATTCGAATTCCCTCAAAAATAGATGCTGGACAAGTAATGAGAGGCGATTGGCGTTGGAAATTGTTCAAGGTTAACCTACGGTTGTGGTCTCTAATTGTGGGAGCAATAGCTTGTAATGTCAAGGTAGAACAAATGAGGACCAGTATTGTAGGCCTTCCTATCCAACTGTTGTCTCATAAAATCTTCAAGAAAATTGGGGGTTATTGTGGGGGCTGGATACAACTAAGGAGGAGACGGAGTTGAGTAATCATAGTAAATAGGCTAGGGTTTTGATCACAAGAGATAGTGAAGATGTTCCAAGTCAGTAATGTGGAGTTCGAAGTACTGATTTTCCAAATTCAGATATGGATTGAGGTGTCGGTGAGAATTTTCACCGGAAAAATAAAAGGGGTAAAGGCTTCAAACCGCTGGGTCGAAGATAATAGCAGAGTGTCAGCGGGAGGTACACTTTAACCTTTTCATAACCTGAAAGGGCACGAGGTTTGCTCCAGACCTGCGGTTTTGTAAACTCCAAGAGGGAGACCAGGACAAAAAGAAAAATTTGGGCCCAGATATCTTGGCCGAAAGCATGTTCGATTTAATAAATCACAAAGAAGATGCACACACTATCCCAGGGTTGACCCTTTAAAGAAAGGGAATTTTATCAAAACAACAATATATTAGTTTTTTTGGTGACACAGTAATAATATTTTAATATTTAGTAAAACTAGCATGTTTTAATTAGTTTAGATTAGGAATACCGTATTTTTTCTTTTAATATGATATGTATATTTATAAAAAAAATTATAGAAAAAATGGAAATTAAAAAATAAAAAAGGTAAATAGGATTAATAATCCTTCAGTTACTTTTTAAAAAGTTTGTACTTCTGCCATTTTTTAAGTTGAGCGCTTTTTTTTCTTCCTTGTTCTTCATATTTATAAAAAAAATACAAACAAAGTTGTCTCCTTAATTATTCGATTGATAAAGAAGCTTGATTCTACAATTCCAATTCTTCAAATATAATCGAATACAGAAATTTTAGAATCCCACAACAACAATTTATTCCTTTCAGTGTAATTCATAATTTCAAGATCATGTATTTTTTTAAATGTTTAATATGAATACATTAAATTTTTATGATTTGAATTTTTTTTGGAAGCTCGTCATAAGTTCCATTGATATCAATATAAAATCTCTGAACAAGATAAGTAACTATGATATAATTTTATCTGTTTATATGATGTGCACGGCTGGATATGTGTTTGATTCTGTTTAGACCCATATTAGTTATGTATTTTTTTTATTTCTTGTTTTTAACAATATAAAATTCTATATGTATTAATTTTGAAACGGTTGTTACTGTGTGATAAAAGTTGTGAATTTGAGTTCAATCTTTATAGATTTTTGTACCCTTTGAAACATACACTTTTTTGAATGTAGATTGGACACATTTTTTTCTATTGATTTTTGAATACTAAAAAATGTGATCATCACTTACATATTTGTTATTGTAGCCATGGGAAGCAATAGTTTTTTTTGTCATGCATTCTAGGAGGTGGAACAAGGAAAATTGCTATGTTGATTACAGTACAGAAGCAATTGTGCTAAAAGAGCATGCAAAATTTAGAGAACTAATGGATCTTTTTTCAAAGAAAATTTGTGTTGACTTGAGCTTCAACATTGTGAAATTTAAATATAAGATAGAGGGTAGTACTGCACCTCTAGAATACACAACGACATGGGTGTGAGAGTGTATGTGTCGTTGAAAAAAGATAACAAACAATTATCAAAGTAGCCTATATGTTTATCCGTATATGTGAATGACATTCAATTAGCTGATAGAACTATGTTTGAAGATGGATTTGAAATGCATGGGCCTGATGGAATAGAGATGGATTCGAAATGCATGGGCCTGATGGAATAGAATAGTTGATACAGAAGCATTAGTGATAGTGTGCCGAACAATAGCGATAACATGAATTGCGACATTATTACAAACGCCAAACACAAGGTAGTGTTGGAAGATCTTGTTTATAAGGAAAAGGGAACTTTAAAGGCTGTGATGATGCAATATGATATTGATCATAGATTCCAATTGAAAACGGACAGATCGAGTCAAACTTGGTATGTGTATTTGGGTTGGATTCTCTTATAAATTTTTTTTCATTATGTTTTTTTACATTATATCAAATATTTTATTTGTATTTTAACTAATTGTAATATGGTGTTATTCAAACAATTATACACTTGTTTGTGTCTCTGATAATTGTGGATGGGTGTTGAAGTCGTCAAGTATCAATAAATATGGAATGTTCAGAATTAGAAAATTCGTAGATGATCACACATGTCCATTTAAAGATAAGGTTTATGAACAACGTCAAGCAACAAGCAATCTTATTGGAGGTATGATACAACCCAAGTTAGTTGATCATAAAAGGAAGTTGACGCCAAAGGATATACAACAAGATGTCAGCCTAGCTCTTGGAGTAAATGTATCATACTCAGTGGCATGGAAGGCTAAGGAAAAGGCTGTAATTTCTTTAAGGGGTACCCCATCTGGTTCTTATGGTAAACTATCGAGCTACTTATACGTATTGGACGCTACCTACCCTGGATCTCATATAAGGATGAAGAAAACCAATGAAAATCAATTTATTTATCTTTTTATTTCTCTCATCCCGTTCATAAAAGGTTTTGAGCTTTGTAAACCAATTGTCGTAGTTGATGGCAGCCACCTCAGGGGGACGTACAATGGAGTATTTGTTTCTGCAAGTACTGTTGATGGAGTTGGTATTAGAATGATAATATATACACGTTGTTTGGTTGATTAATATAGTTATTCTATATGAAATAGTAAATTTATTAAATGTTTTGTGTATAGGAAATATATTTCCGCTAGCATATGGAATTATTGATTCAGAAAATGATGCATCCTGGACTTGGTTTTTTGAACAGTTTAGAGAAGCGCATGGCGTTAAATATAACTTGTGCGTTGTGTCCGATCGAAACGAAAGTATTATAAAGGAAGTTTCGAGGGTATTTGATGGAGTTCTTCATTATGTCTGTATTTGGCATTTGTGGGAAAATAGGAAAACACTATTTAAAAAGTCGCACAATAGTCTGTCGGAAGTTTTTCATGGGATGGCAAAGGCATACAAACATTCTGAATTTGATGAACTGATGGAAAAGGTTGAACAAGTTGATGTTCATGTACAAAATTACTTGGAATCAGCAGGTTATGAAAAATGGGCTAGGGTATATACAACAGTTGATCGAGGAATGGTTATGACATCAAACATAGCTGAGTGCATAAATGCTTGTCTACTTGAAGCAAGGGAATTAACGGTATACGATTTTCTTGAGGAAGTAAGACAGATGTTTGCAAGATTGAATTTGAAAAATCATACGTCTGCTTCACATACTTTCACCACACTTTGTGGTAGACCATAAGAGATGCTTGTTGCTAATGAAGAAGCATCATTACGTATGAAGGTATATTGTTACGATTTAAATGTTCAGCAAAATTATACCACATAAGTGTTTATTTATTTTTGTAGGTTGTACAATCAAATAACTATGTTTTTAGTGTTCATCATGAAGTTAGAACCTACATTGTTTGTTTGGAAAATAAAACTTGTACTTGAAACAGGTTTCAAATAGATGAAATACCACGTTCACACGCTTGGGACGTTTTAAAGAAGAAACATTTCGATGTTGGGCCATATTTTTCCGACCTGTACAAGACAAGTAACTTTTTGAATTCATATAGCATTCCAATTCGTCCGCTACCTGATCTGTAACGACCTGTTTAGTCGTTTTGAGCAGCAGATTTTATTTCTGGAAAAACTGGCTGAGACAACGGAACCCAGGACGGACCGTCATGGGCACGACGAAGCGTCGAGGGTGTCTCGTTCCAAAATACTTAGAATTCTGAAAATTGGGTACTGAAATCAACTCTCTGAACTTCGTAACGAAATGGCAGGACGGACCGTCGTGGGCACGACGGACCGTCACAGACCCTTTAATGGAATGGAGTCTCTAAACTCTGTGACGGAGCAGCAGGACGGACCGTCGCAGGCACGACGGCCCGTCACAGACTGCGTAATCCCAGGCTGAGTCGGATTTCTTTAAATGTTTTAAGGGGGCGTTTTTGACTATTCCTGCTATAATTATAAATTTAGTGGGTTAATGTTAATAATTTAACTACTTGAGGGTTAAAAGAGATAACCTTGAATTAATTAATGGGTTAAATTCATCATCTTTCATACTTAATTATATGTTAATTTGGGTAAAAGAAAGAGGGTTTGAATAATAAAAATAGAAAGAACAAGGAGAGGGAAAGAAAACGATCGAGAGAGAGAGGAGAAACGAAGGAGAAAGCAAAGATTTTGAGGATTAGCTTGCTTGATCACTAATCTTCGGTGGAGGTAGGTTATGGTTTTTATACTATTCGTAGTTAACTCTTAATGGCGAATGATATGTGTTGGGTTGTATTGTAAAGTCTTCTATATGCTTAATTGTATGCTTGCATTAATATGATTATATAATTGTGATGAAATAAGCATGATGAAGCTATTGAATCCCAAATCTTGAAAACCCCTTGTAATGATGATGCCTTGGTATAAAAGAAGGCTTGATGAACTAAAGTAATGATATTGATGATGCCTTGGTATAAAAGAAGGCTTGATGAACTAAAGAAATGAGATTGATGATGCCTTGGTATAAAAGAAGGCTTGATGAATTAATAGAATGAGATTAGTGGAGCGGGTGTCACGAACCGACACGTAGAAGTAGGGGATTAGGTGTCACGAACTGACACGTAGAATTAGGGGATCGGGTGTCACGAATCGACATGTAGAATTAGGAGATCGGGTGTCACGAACTGACACGTAGAATTAGGGGATCGGGTGTCACGAACCGACACGTAGAATTAGGGGATCGGAGTGTCACGTTTCGACACATAGTAGTAAGGGAGCGGAGTGTCATGTTCCGACACAAGAGGAATAAAGATAATGAATCTTGGAATTATGTTAATAAATTCGAATGAAAAGAACCTATTTCCCAAATGAGTATGATATTGAGGCTTGAGTCCTTATGTGTGAACTTGGCGGTACTTATTAACGATCATAGTACTTGTTGTTGCTACATGTTGAGTAATGTAGTGGATTTTATATTATTACTTGATATTTTTTTTTCTATTTTGAGTTGGCCGATGATATCTACTCAGTATCCGTGTTTTGTACTGACCCCTACTTGTATGTTTCTTTTTGTTAAATTGTGGAGTGCAGCAAACGTGCCGTCGTCTTCAACTCAAGCGCAACTCTAGCCAGTCTTTATTAGACCGGATTTCAGGGTGAGCTAATGCTTCTAGCTTGGACTGGATCTTCCTCTTCATGTCTTGATGCCATGAACTTCTGGCATGGACTAGCTTTTTACTTATTTTAGCTTCTTCGATACACTTAGATTAGTAATTTGAGGATAGATGTTCTTGTGATGATGACTTCCAGTTTGGGGATAATAATAGTTGTCGAGTTTTTAGAAGTTATTTAATTGATTTTCATTAATGAGTTTAAGTCTTCCGCATTATATTGTGTTATTATGTTCGAAATGTTGGGTTTTGTATTGATTGGTTCGCTCACATAGGAGGGTAAGTGTGGGTGCCAGTCGCGGTTTGATTTGGGTCCTGACATGATCAAAACGAGTGAAATGTACCTTGATATACTAAGGACCAAATAGTGCAGCCTTCAAATCACAAAAAACTTCCTGGAAGGCCATCCAAAAAGTATCCTGACAAGACGTATAGCGAGCTATATGGTAAGAAGAGAAAGAATTCTTGCAGTACGTGTGGGTTTAAAGGGCACAATAGGCGTTCATGTAGGAATGGACAGCGTATTGTATAGTTAATGATGTTTCATTTTTGTATATTTTTAGAGTTAGGTTGCTTCCAGATCTCTAATGCCTTCTGGATAATAAAATAACATGGAATTCTTTGTTCATGGTTGTATCTTGAAATGTATTCGCTCTACGTCTTCTCTCGAATACCGTTACTTGTATTCGAAACCTAAATGTATTTAGATTTTAATACCAATTGTTACATCCATTTGAATGCATCAATTGTTGGATTCTTCTATTTGAATTCGGCAAATATTTTTTTTTATACATTTTTTTTGAGAAGTGTTCATTCATATCCATGTTTTCAATATATATTATATTTGACCTGTCTAAAGTTTATGAGTGAACTTGTATGTGTCACAAACACAACATTCGCAGTTACTTATATTCCAGTTGAATTGTATTTATTATTTAATATAAATTATTTTTTTGTAACATTTTAATGCATACAAATTTTTTTTCTTCGTTTACTATCGAAATGTATTCATATCCATGGTATTAATATCTTTTGATAAGTGTTCATATTTATGTTTTTAATCTATATTGTATTTGCTCTTTCTAGAATATATGAGTGAAATTGTATGAGTCACAAAACAAAATCATTGCATATACTTGTATTCAAGTTAAATTGTATTTATAATTTAATATAAATTGTTTTTGTAACATTTTAATGCATACATTTTTTTGTATTCTTTTTATCTCTAAAATTATTCATATTCGCTATACGTATTCTATCTTTTTTAAGTTGTTAGTATTATTAATTGTATTTAGAATTTATTAATTTAATATCAATTGTTACATCCATTTGAAACATATGAATGCATACATTTTGTTATATTATTGTAATTGTTTTGGTATACCTTTTATAACGAAATGTATTCGTATTCATGATTTTAATCTACATTATATTTGTTCTATCTAAATTGTATGTGTGAACTTGTATGAGTCACAAAAATTATATGTCGGTAGAATCATATGCATTTCAGGTAAACATCAAAAACGAATTTTGTGTACCCCACATGCAATACTTAAGCTTGACACACAAATAAAACGCTTTTTTTTCCTCACTTACCACAAAGCCTCATATATGCTCTTTTGGTAAGAAAAATAGAATATGTAGCAAATATTCATTAACTGGAACAACAAAGAAATAGATTTTATATGTAGCAAAGATTCATTAAATGGACCAACATTATCATATAAACTGCACAAGGACTGAAACACTTTAATATTAACCCAAAACTTTGAAACCAGAACTTCAAGATTTTATACATTAATAAACACAAGAACTGGAACCCTTTAAATTCGTTTCATAGCAATACAAAACTAATGTATAATGACAAATCAAAAAATGGACAACAACTAATCTATTTGAATTGTATCAATCTCCTGCATTGCTACATTGAATTTGCTATATCTTGGAGGTGCTTCATTGTCACTTATTGCTCCAGCATCATTCTTTTGTTGGCCATAATTGCAAAGAAGTGTAGCGTATCTTGACCGTAAACATGATGCATCAAAAACATTCACTGGAATACCTTGGCCATATGATAGATATTCGGCAAAAGCTAGAATATAAATACCACAATCCCTATGATATAAGAAATTAAAAGTTAGTACACAATATAATATTGATGATTTGATGATAGTAAAATCAAAAGAAACACAAACTTACAAAGACCCATGCGACTGTTGAGGAACATTATCTATGAATACTACATTAAAGAACTCATTCTCTTGTTGAGCTTGCGATACATCAATTCCTTTATTGTTGTAATATTCATTGATTGTTAACTTCAAAGGGATCAACTGAGACAGGTTAACTATCTCTGCCTTGATAGCTGCATCGTGACCTGCTGCCCTATATAAGTCATACATGTTGATACACTTATCATTAAATGATATCACAACCAACACCCAATGAAATTTCTCCTTATCATGGAGAGGAACAAAAACATAATTAATCGTATGCGAAGGTGTAAAAGCATGCATTTTGTACCCTCTAATGTATTCACCAATGACATGCTCTTCATCGGCACAACAAACATCACTATCTAAATCCAAATATTTTTCTCAAATAGCAGATCTTTGAACTAAATACACAATCTACAGTGTTATATTTATAGCTGCCTCCAACATCATACTTAACTTTTTTCCGTAGATAATATAAGATCACATCAACATGCTGACAAATTTAAAGACAAATGTATAAATACTATAACTATTATTCAATCATTGTTTGTAAAGATAAATGTTAAACAACTCTTACCGAATTGTTCAATAACTATCCTTTGAAATACAGATTATAGAACCAATTCTTATTGTCTATTAGGAGAACGCCAAGGTTAATGGCCATAGGAATTTCATCTAGATTCTTCTTGTAATGGTCTTGATCATGCTTCCTAAAAATAGAATAAAAATAGAAATAGTATACCATTCATTAAAAAAGTAATTACTTTCAACAATTAAATACAAAAAAAAATCAAGAAAACCTATATATCAGCTACACCAAACAATAACTGTTGTTGAAACACGAACAAAAATTTAACCGGATACAAAAATTTAAATAGTTATGTTGTAAAAATATCTTGTAATTATTCACCAATGATTTACTTTTTGTCGTGCTTTGCATCCATCTCGGATCCATGAATGAAACGCATCCCACAGCGTTATAGTATAATCGCCTGAGATCAAATCAAACATAAAGGGTGTTTCAATTCAAAAATGTGGGGCTGACATGATGAACTACCTGAAATGGTTCAAAAAATAATAAATTAAATACACACTAACAGCAGCAATAAAAAAAGATTACATTAACTTAAGCATTAAAAATGGAATATTATACCAACAGATGATTTAAAATTGGTCAGATACGGCGATAAATTATAAGGACGTGGACGACTATTCCAACGCGCAAGTAATGGCGTCTGTTCGTTATTGCTGATAGGTTAATCTATCTTCAATTTTTCACCATTCGTACCCAAATGGACATCGATAGTGGCCTGATCTGCCTTTGTTGTAATGCATCCAGCAATTGTTGTTGGCAGTTGTTCGATGTGTCCTTTTATCACAATTGAATGTGGTGCGGTGTTACTCTTTATAGAATTGAGACTAGGCATGAATTGATCGTCCAATTCAAACTGTGAATCAGTTGTCACATTCATGTGATCCAAAACCCAGATAGGGACTGGACATGACATTTGTTCAACATCGACCTCATGTGAATTTTCAGATACTCCAAGCACTTTTTTTTTAGGGGGGGGGGGTATATCAAATACAAAGCTTGGTTGATTTACCTATTAATTTCGTAAAAATAAAAACACTTTAAAAGTAATGACCCAAATAATGGTATAACAAATGTACTTATAAAATTAAATAACATACTCTAGGAATTGTAGGTCTTGGAGTACTAAATTCATAAATCCACTTCAATCAGATTTTTAATAGGGGTGTTGATACAAAAAAACTTACAAAATGAAAGTTATAAATGAAATTGTTGATATGATAATGAACATTTATTGAGACTGAAATTTAAGGCAAATTTGTATATTGTAATCACAAATTAGGATGTACGACAAAAAAACATAAAACTTGTCTAAAACCTGACTTACCTCATGATCATCGGATTTGGGATATATTCCATCTGGATTGTTGATTGTCTATAAAAAAAATAAAAATAACAAGAAACATGAAAAAAATTTAATGGATACAATAATGAAAAGTCCGTTAAAGTTGTAAATTATAACAATTATTGACTAAAAATTATTGTTTTTTATAATACATGTAAGCATAAACCGAGTTAAGATTGCTTGATACAGTTTGATCATAATTATATAAATTTATAATTATATAAAATATAGGAGGCTTATTACTGATATTTATTACACATGTATTGAGTTTAAAATGTTACACAAATCTTGACTTACATGGGCACAACATTTGTTGATTTACTGTCATTTAAATCCTTGAGTGTCTTCTAAAAAAATAAAAATTCAATAACCATGTAATCAAATATTAAAAGTTACCACTTCATTAAAGTGAATAAATTCAAAATTTTCGTAAAAAACACCAAAATAGGGATCGTATATACAACCTAAATTAATAAAAAAATTACAAGTACCTCTGAATTTCCAGATTCCAATTTGTCACACTGAACTACCAGAACTTGATTTGATGGAGATTCTTTATTGGAAGTGTATTGTGGTGTATACCCATCTTCATCGTTTGAATTTGAAGGGACAATATGATCATCAGAATGCTCGGCATGTGTTATATTACAACGTAAATCATTAACAAAAATGTTAATTTGAAATACGTTACATCATTTTATTTTTTATAACAAACCTCCTGCTCATCCCGTGTTTAATTAATGCCTGTCGGAACAGTCTTGAAGTTGTCATTGATCAAACTGCGAATTTCAACAAATTCTTGTTTAACCTAAAAATACGACATAATGATGTAGCTTATTAAAAATTTAAAATTCTAATAAGTGTATAATTATGAAGGATTTACTATATGGTAAATACTTCTTTCCTGAAATCTGATAGCTCTTTCAACCAGTCTTCCACTTCAGATCCGCTTGTTCTCTGAAATATCATAATCACTAGAAGTTGTATTTGTTACATATGCATGTAGACATTCAGTTTGCTTTAAAATAACCTTAAGTTTCTTTAGTACCTTTCTGGATACAACATTCTTTTTCATCGGTTGTTTAACAGCAATTCGAGGTTCCAAATTTTTTGCATCCTGTTTGGATCCACTAGTCACCGGCTTCTTTGTCCTTTTTCTAACAGGCGACATTGAGGAACCAACTTTTCCTTTTCTTTTGACCTTTACTGCTTGTGGAGAAGGTTCTTGAAAATCATCGTCAGAATCTTTATCATCACAACTTCCCCCTCGTGGATCATCATTACTATCAATTATTTCATCATCTAGATCATCATCTGATTAATCGGAATACTGAGGTGGAGCTTGATTTTCGATATCCTCCGGTGGCAGTTGCAATACTGCAAGTTCCGTTTAATTAGGTGTAATGTTCCTGAATTTAATCTGAATTCAAAACATTTTGTTACTATTATGAATAAAAACAACCAAAAAACATACAACTTGGTGATTATTAAATATATGTGAGTTAAGTACCTTGTTATTAACATCACTAAATATGCTGTTCATAAGTTTCTTGTATCTACGACTCTCATTGGTCGTCTGCCAGTTGAGCAACCTCGGAATATGGTCATCAACCTTTTGAGCGACCTGGAAATCAATACTCAAACTGAACTCAAACAACCATGCTTGGAATACAATAGGCATTCCCCCGATTCTGTAAAATTATTTTTCACTATTCAACCTCTTGCTCAGGCTCTTCATCAGCAAATAGAAAGCTTTTTTCCCCCATGGAAACTGACTGTACCTTCCACTTTCAACAAGATAAAAATATAATCAAGGAACTTTTTTGGTAGCTCTTTCACCAGAAAAAATCATTGTCTGGATGAAGTATAAAATTGCAAACTTCAGGCCATCCTGATGGTTCTCCCCCCATACTTTTTGTTGAAAACTCCTCATTATATCAATTTTCCTGATCAACTTAACACCCTCAAAATACTTTTCCATGAACCTATTTGGTTCTGACTCATCAAAGATGAAATCATTTTCTTCGTTTACACAACTTAATCCACTAATCAAAGTAAATTCTCTCAAATTAAAATGCAACGTAGATCCATTTACACGCATTACAAATGCTTGGCGAGAACTACAATTGAGTTCTAAAGCCATACAACGCCTATGTATTTGTTCGTGAACATGACATTGATGCATTTGTATATACTTACCAAAACAGGTGCTTTCACATAATACATTGTATATATGTCCATGTAAATACTTTACCAAGTTAGCTTTTATGTCATGATTAAAGAAACAATGAATATGGGGAGCTCTTTTTGGTTTATTTTTGACATAAAATTCATTTGCCTGCACATGTTCAACAATAAAATGAATACATACTTAAAAAATTACTAATATATAAATCTATTACTAGTTAACAAAATAGAATAAGAGAAACTACATTGTATACGAAATATTGAATGTTCATTTTGAATCATGAATATTGATGACATAAAAAATAAAATGAAATAAATAACAAAATACAACTAAACTGATACTATAAGTTTATCAAAATTTGAATACATAAAGATGCTGAAAAGAATATAAATACATTATTCAACAATCTAATATATGTATACAACAAAAAATGGGCAAAAATAATTTCTACTAGAATACAGTTGAAAGAAATCTACTAAATTGAAATATATAAAGATAAATATTGTATTCCTTTTCTTAATATTGACAAGCAAATGAGAAGACTCTTACGTATAAGGTAATTTGTAGCATCCAATATTAGTGTTTTGGTATTTTTATTTATATTGATACATGTACATTTTTTGTTGACAACTTTTTTTACATGAATACTTTTTTTAACACTATCAATGCATGGAAATATATAGTAAGTGCATCAATCTGCAAGATACAGTTTCACTTAGCCTAGTCTTTTGTGTGTAGGAAGAGAATAGACTCTCAATGCATTTGGATATTAAGAGTTTCTTTTCTTTTTCAGTAGCATCTACATGTTCTTCAGGCCAACAGCGGAGTAACAATCCGGCTCCGTACATGCCTTAAAATTGTGTCTCAAAATTGCACAAACTTACTATTTTCTCTATGAATTTCCTACTAAAAATATTCACAGGTTATTCTCACAAATTAGTGGGAAAAAAATAGTAATGTTTACATTCATAAAATTAAAAAGTTACCTACTATTTCAGTGAAAACCTATTTTAGTTGTGTTTTTTTCTAGTGAGCTGATTTGATGGAAATGAATGAAAAAATTCATGTTCTATATACAGATTTTCGTTAACAAGCTTCCAATCTGAAACACATGCAATTTCAAACACAAAAACCAACTATTGACATAGCATAAAAATAGCTTCGTTAATAATTTAATACCTCTTCATCGTCATGACGTAATACTTCATCACTTCGATATTCTTGATGATCAACAGGGGTTTTATAGTACGACACTTTCCTTTTTTTGGAAGAGCTATCAATTGCCATTTTATACTCTTGTGTCATTCTCGCCGCAGATCCTACATTTTTTATCAATCCTTGAGTAATGCACAATCAAATGAGGGAAATTCCACAAAATTTTTAATGTTGTTGTTTATACCTCAAGTAATTCTTACTAAATCAGCCATTGCATACAATACACTCTTTTTTTTCAACAATCTAAAAATCTGAAGAAAAAAAATTCTTTTAACAACTGCGTATTGAACATCAAACAACAACGATTCTATATATATGAACTTTCATAATCTACAATCTTAAACATTGAAAGAAAATCACAAAAAAATAGACAAAAAATATAAAATCATAAATGTATGATGCATATTAAAATAAAAATCACATAAATTGTCCATAAAACTGTGATATACAAAATCAGAACTTTAATAAAAACATAAAAAAAAAAATCAAAACCGAAAGTTGAACTAACCTTGCCACAACCAAATCTGCTTTAATAATGATGCTAGCTCGAAAATCTGCTTGAATCCTTGGGAATCAATGGCTTTGATGAAGAAATCTGGAAAATTTGTGAAAGAAACTTGAAAATTTGGCTGAAAATTTTTAATTGGTTTAATTTTTACCTTTCTTGGAACTTTACACGAAATTGTTAATTAATTTCTTTTTTTTCATTGAATGTTATTGGACCATGTTTTTGTCCAATAAATGAATTTCCATTAATATATTAAATTAATAATATCAATATACACTAAAATCTAAAATACACACATTTAATAAAATATGTAACATTAATAAACATATTGTTATTTTGTCATTTTCACTAAAAAATTTAAATTAATGTTATTTTGATTAATTATGTTATTAAATATATCTTAATTGCTAATTTTTCCAAATACTTTGACACTTGTTGTCAATTCGTCAATACCCAACTGCCGAGAAATCTAGAATTTCTAAGCATTTAACAATAACAGAAACTTAAAAAGGGGAAGATGACCAAATTCCCCAATAAGGCGAAGAGTACACTATGTCCATCTTTGAAGATAATGTCAACTCTCTCTCTCTCTCTCAAGTTAGACGACAGTCTCTTGCATCCAAAAATAATACACAGAGATATGGAATTGGTATATGAAGATGTGCTTCATCTAAACACCCATAACTCTGGTGAGGAAGAGGATATGGATTTTGAAGCATCCTTATGGGTGCATCAAAATATCATTAAATTGAGCAAAGAACTTTGGGTGTGCTTCCAAGGTTAGGAGAGAGAAGCACTGGAACTGTTTATGATAATTGACACGAGGAGACGAGTGATCAAAATAACACCAGACCTGTCTATGACACAATCTCCATTAAGAAAGATTTCCAAGGACGTAAAGAACCTGGAAACGAGGAGAAAATTTTAGAAGCAATGGAACTAGAAACGTTGGTGGGGATTTTTTTCACTAAAACTCAATGAAGGTAAATATTGTTTCATGGAATGTGAGGTGGATTAATCTGCCCTGGGAAACGAGGGATAATAAGAAACTTTATTTAAAATTGGAAGGCTGATATCTTTTGCCTTCAAGAATCTGAATTGGACGGGGATATCAGGGAGATAATTAAAGAAGTTAGGGTAAATAGATAGGCAAAATTTTCACAACTAAAGGCAAGTGGGACAAGAGGAGGCATTATTATCTTATGGGACAACAGACTATGGGAATGAAAAGTTAGCAACATAGGGGTCTACTCCATTACATGCAAATTCATTGGAAAATCGCAAGATTTTTGTAGGCATCTCTCTAGTATATATTCTCCAAATAGTAGAACTGAGAGAGAGGAAATTTGGTGGGAAGTTGCAGGTGCTAGGAGATTATTCAATGGACCATGGGTGAAAATTAGATTTCCTTCTAAAAAAAAAGAATTGTAGAAGAATTACCAAAGCTATGACTGATCTTTCCGAGTTCATTGAGGATTTAGAGTTGGTTTATATTCCATTATCTAAGGGAAGAGACACATGGAGAAGGGGTGACAGGCACACCTCACAGCCAGACTAGACAGGTATTTGATCTCTGCGGATTGGAACGACATCTTCAACAACATCAAACAAACCCCTCTTCATAGAATTAGTTCTGATCATACTCCGTTGTCACTTAAATGTGGTAGTTGTCATCAAAATAAGTCATATTTCAAATTTGAAAATTGGTGGCTGCAGACAGGAGGATTCAAGGAAAGGATCAAAGACTGGTGGACTGTCGTTAATTGTGAAGGTACACCTCACTTCATTTTAGCGTACAAGTTGAAAGCTCTGAAGGTGAAGCTAAAGGAATTGAGTAAGATCATCCAATGGATCCTACATCTACAGAAATCCAACATACTGAACCAACTCTTAGAGATGGAAGAGATACATGACTGCAGAATTCTAACCAATGAAGAGGTTTTAATAAAAAAAAACTCTTTGTATCTAGAATATGAGAAAATATCAAAATCATGAAGAGGTGGAATGGAGGCAAAGGTCTCGAGACCTTTGGTTGAAAAAGGGGGACAGAAGCATAAAAGTTTTCCATAGTACTGCGAATGCCCACAAGCGGTACAATAACATTGACAAATTGGAGATAGAAGGGGCCATTGTGGAAAACGAAGCAAACATTAAAGAGGATATGGTCTCTTTATACCAGAAGCTATATATAGAAGAAGAAAAATGGAGACCTCAGGGGGATCTTAGGGACTGCCCTAAAATTAATGATGTAGAAAATCAGATGCTACAAGGTGTGCCAAACCTTGTGCAAAGGACAAAGCCCCTGGCCCAGACGGGTCATAAGCACAGAAGTAGTGGCTGCTATTCAGAACTTCTATCATCAAGGAATTTTGGAAAAAAGCTTCAATGCCACTTTCATTGCATTAATACCTAAGAAGATTGCGGCCAAAGATCTGAGAGAGTTTAGACCCATCAACTTGATAGGTAGCATTTACAAAATCATATCCAAGCTTTTGATGGAAACTGAAGAAAGTAGTGCAAAAATTGGTGGATGCTCAGTATAGGGCTTTAATCAATGGTCTTCAAAAATTTTATGCCATCTTAATTGCCGATGAATGCACTGATGCTAGGATCAGAAGTAAAGCCCCAAGTATATTTTTCAAGTTATACATTAGGAAGGATTTTGATCACTTGAACTGGAAATTTTTATTGGGGATGCTTCGGAATAAGGGATTTGGACAAACTTGTATCAAATGGATGAACTTTTGCATAAGTACTGCTATGTTCTCAGTGCTTTTCATAACTCTCCAGCTGGCTTCTTCCCTTCACAGAGAGGTCTGAGGCAGGGGGATCCTCTATCCCCATTCTTGTTTATCATTGCCATGGAGGATTTAAATGTCATGCTACAGAAATCCCAAACAAACAACTGGATCAGAGGATTCAAAGTAATCTCTAGGGAAGAAAGTAACATGAAGATCATGCATTTACAATATGCAGACGATACCTTGATTTTTTGTGAAGGAGATTTGAATCAAGTAAGTATGCTAACATTGATTTTCATTTTATTTGATGCCATCTCCGTGCTGAACATTAACTGGAACAAAAGTTTTATTTACCCAATTAATGAAGTGAGTGATCTTCACAGGTTGTTCAACATTCTAGGAGGTACAATTGGGGATCTTCGAACAACATATCTTGGATTACCTCTGAGGACAAAAAGCAAGTCTATTAATATATCAACTCAAGTGTTGGAGAAATGTGAAAAAAGTTGGCTAATTTGAAAACTCGATACTTATGCATGGGAGGAAGGCTGACCTTGACTAACGTTGTATTGGATGTAATGCCTACATACATGACGTCTCTATTTCATGTTCCTACTAGTGTTATGAAAAGGTTGGACTCCTTGAGAAGGAATTTTTTTATGAAGGGCACAACAAGAAAAATAAAATACATCTTTTCAATTAGAAGTCTTGTAAAACCAGCAAGAAGGAAGAAGGTGCTGGAATTAAGAATCTAAAGATCTAGAATTAGACTTTAATGATGAAGTGGTTATGGAACTTCAATTTATACGCTCAGCCATTATGGAAGAAAATAATCATGAAAAAATATGGTTTGGATGGAAAATGGACTACCAAAGTAAGCAATAGTCCTTATGGAGTTAGTCTCTAGAAATCCATCAGGAACTTGTGTGTAATTTCTTTAAATAGGTACTCTTTTGTGTAATTTCCATTAGTTTATATATGTTTTATATAGATAGTGTGGTATGGATTGATATGAAAAGTGCAACATCCGGGGGAGGGGGGAGGGGGCGAAGGTGGGGAAGGAATAAAAGAATTCCTAAAAGCTTATCCACGCTTTGACCAGACATCTTCTCAACTTTAGTGGATAATCTAAGTTATGATACTGTTAATGATAAAAGATTCTCTTTTGCACCCAAGTGTCTGGTCTAGTGGTCAATGAAGTGCGAGGAGGGTCTCAGATTCAAATCCTTGTGGAGGCAATAAATGGTAATTTCTTTCAATATATGCCTAACGTTGGTGGACAGAGTTACCTGACACTTGTGATGTTGAGAAGTAGCAGGTATCCGGTGGAATGTTCGAGGTGTGAAGAAGTTGGTCATTATATTTCCATCATAAGAAAATTTTGTTTTAGAACAACTGCTCTATCATTATTCAGTTTACCCTAGTCAGGAAAATCAGACTACCTGCCAAGTTTCACTTCTAGTTTTACAATGTAGGTTCTATGCCATAAAAAGTTGGCGGAACATTATAAAGAGCCAAATACATTGATGACCCCCAAAACTTGACAAAAACAGTGACCTATTTGAACACTTCAACTTGTTACCATTAAATTCCAAAGCTTCTTTCCATGTGTGCCAGTTAAAGTTATTAATCTTTTGGCAATTGTCAATTATCATCAATTTATTAACAGCTATCTTTGAATGTCTCGACATTTTAAGAGCCTTTTTTTCTTAATGATGATGGTATTGGTAAATGGTCGTTTTTATATGCAACAATTAGATTAGGAGTAGTAACAAGAAAAATATGTAGATACCTACTTGGAAACGAATGTAATGTGGTGTCCTAGTTTGCAAAGGAGTACAATGAGGTGTCTATATTAATGTATAATGTAGATACTCAAGTCAATAATATTCTTCTCTAATATTTTTCTCATGGTATTAAAGCCTCTACAACCTTGGTAGAAAAATAATTAAGAAAACTACAGCCGGCAGGAGGTTACATGAAAAATAGTGATGCTAAGGACTGATTTGAGATGAATCTGGGACAAACAAAGTGGTCACTGTGCTTCTTTCTGTGGTGTGTTAGACTTGATTTTGTGTTGCACTGTGAATCTCTTGTGTGACTACTTTCTCGTATCTGATTTTTCGTAGCATCGTGCTTCTTTTTTTGTGACTGCTTTCTCATATCTTATTTGTGTAGTACCTTGCATTTTTTTGGACTAATTTCTCATATTTGATTTGTGAAGCACCGCACATCTTCCTGGCAACTCCACAAATCTGATTTGCATAGTCTATGTCAATAAAAAGAAGATTTAATTTGCGTAGTTTCGTGTCTTTCCGTTGACTCCTCATATGTGACTACGTAGTTTCACTTTTTGTCAGTGTTGTGAGAAAATCAACACTACCAAGAGGTACAGTGCCTCCCTATTATCAAACCACAACTAGTGCCACGTGAAACGACCTCAGACACGCCGACTCATGAGCTTGTTCCGAATAGTTTTTCGGTGGCTTTCTTGTTCAAGATCTACTCATCTCTTAATTTCGAGACGACCCATATATTGTATACAAATTTCTGGAAAATTTTCAGTTTGTTCCCTTTTAACTGAGGTCTGGGAAGCAGTCCGTACCAGTTATATCTTCATCAAGTCCCTCAATGGACCTCATATTAATCACATCTATAACAAGCTCGGTACATGACATGTATACTCTAGCTTAAGAGGGAGTAATTTTGAATAGGAGTAGGAACAAGAATAGAATATATAATCCTACTTAGGATTGTAGTACAGTGTTTTAGTTAGAAAAGGAGTCTAATGTAGTGTCTATTAGACAAAATGATAATCACACCCAATATAATGTCCAAACTAAATAGCAATACGAACAGAGTAACAATGACACCAAATATTAAAATGGGTAAATATAATACCCGAATAAGTAATATAATAATATTGATGAAAAACTCGGTAGTGTCAAAACACTACTACTCAACAATCTTTTATTTCTTACAACTCACAATAATATTACTTCCACACTATTTTCTCACAAACTAAGAAGTAAATTGTGGATTACTCTCTAATCTCTATTACTTTTCTATTTGGTGTGTCTTCACGTGTTCAATTACTACTTTATTTATAGAGTTTTTTGAACACTTGTTTACATCATTAATGACATAATATGGTAGGCAATTTCAACAAAATATTGGCTGCCTACCTCTACTTAACTTATACAAAACTTTAACTACCTACTTCCACAAATGTGGCTACAAACTTTCACATTGGTGGCTACCAATTTTCACATTTGCGGCTTGTAATTTCAACAAGTTTGGCTGCCAAATTAATTGTTGCCATGATTTATTTACACAAATCTCTCCGTTAATTTTGATTTTTCTTCTTTACTCCAAGGTTTGATCTCAATCTCTGAAAATCTTCAAACCTGAGAGGCTTTGTAAAGATATCCGCAACTTGATCATGACATTTTACATACTTGAGGTCTCCCTCTTTCTTGGCAATGCATTCTCGTATAAAGTGATACCTTGTGCCTATGTGCTTGCTTCGATCATGATACACGGGATTCTTTGCTAGTGCTTGCGCAGATTTATGATTAACACAAATCATTGTGGCTTGAATTTGTGGCAAATTGAGTTCCTTCAACAATCTTCTTAACCGAATAGAATGACACGTACATGATGTCACTGCCACATATTCAGCATCACAAGTAGAGAGAGTAACAATTGATTGTTTCTTTGAACTTCCAAAAAATAACACAATCATCCAAGAAAAACACAAATCCATATGTGTTTTTTCTATCATCAAATTCTCCCGCATAGTGACTATCACAATATCCCACAAGATTAAAATTATCAGAAGAAGAGTAAAATAGCCAAAGGTCGGTTGTACCATTTCTGTAGCAAAGAACTCTTTTAGCACCTTATAGTGAGTGTAGGTACGAGCTTCCATGAAGTGTCTTACTACTCAAACTGCAAAAGTATATCTGGTCGCGTATATGTCAAGTACCTCACACTTCCTATAGACTCTTGAACAAAGTGGAACGCACTTCTTCTCTAACATCAAATTTTGACAATTTTATTCCAGTTTCCATTGGGGTGTTCACAGGGTTGCAACCAAACATGTTGAACTTCTTCAAAATCTCCTTTGTACAACTTTCTTGAGATATGAAGATGCCTTCCTCCATTTTCTTCACTTTTAGGCCCAAGTAATATGACATGAGCCCTATATCCATCATCTCAAACTCAAGGTACATAGATTTCTTGAAAGCTTCAAATAAAACTAGATTGTTACCCGTTAGAATGAGATCCTCAACATAAAGACAAAAAAGCAGAATATTTCCATTATTATGAACTTTACTGAAAATAGCACAATCATGGAGACAACGAGTAAGCCCAGTGTGTTGAAAGTATTTGTCAATGTAACTATTCCGAGCTCGTGGAGCTTGCTTCAACCCATATAAGGCTTTCTTCAACCTCAACACCTTAGCTTCATGATTTTTAACCACAAAACCCAATGGTTTCTCAAAGTAGACTTCTTCTTCAAGATATCCATTCATTAATGATGATTTGACATCTAGTTGATGGATCTTCCACTTCATTTACGCTGCTAAGGAGATCAATAGACGGATTGTCTCCATGCGTGCAACAGGCGCATAGACTTCTTCATAGTCGATGGCATGCCTTTGTTTGTAGCCTTTATCCACAAGTCTTGACTTGTATCTTTCTACTTCTCAATGGGCATTTTTCTTCATCTTGTATACCCATTTGACTCTAATTACTCAATTGTCCTTGGGAAGAGCTGTCGACTCCCAAGTGTTGTTCTTCTCTATTGACTGGATATCTTCCTCCATGGTTTGTCTCCACCTTTTTTCATTAACAGCTTCATCAAAATTCATTGGTTCACTATCAGCAAAGATACAACACAAAAAATCAAAATTAGTAATTTCTTTTGTGTCATCATAGAGTTCTTAGATGCTCCTCATCCTATGTGGTCTTTCACTTGAACTATCTTGAGAAGATGGAGTTGCAACATTTGTTGGTGAAGGAGGTGGGGATTCATCTTGTTCCATGGTCTCCTGTTCTTCTTCATCTCCGATGTATGGAAGAAAATCATATGTTTTTTCTTCCATAGCCTCCCCATTCCATGATGCTTCTTCATCAAAATCAACATCAAGACTCACCACCACCTTGTTATTGCTTGTATTGTATAGTTTGTAGCCTTTTGGACTTGCATCATAGCCAACAAACACATACTTGACACTTCGATCGTCAAGTTTAGCTCTCCCTTGATGTGGAACATGAGCATAGGGTATGCTCGCAAAGATTTTCAAGCGCTTAACACTTGGATTTCTTTCTCTCCATGCTTCTTGAGGTGTTTGATCTCGTACATTTCTTGTTGGAGACCTGTTGCTCAAATAAATTGCACATGAAACAACCTCGGCCCAAAATTCTTTAGGTAAATGTTTAGCTTTCAACATACATCTATCCATATTAAGAATTGTTCTATTCTTTCTTTCTGCAACTCTATTTTGTTGGGGCGAGTAAGATACAGTTAGAGGCCGACGAATTACATAAGATTGAAAAAAGTTATTAAATTCTTTTGAAGTGAATTCGCCTCCTCTATGAGACCTTAATGCTTTTATTTCATAGTCACTTTGTTTTTCTACAAGTTCTTTGAAATTTTTAAAGGCAACAAAAACTTTATATTTTTGCTTCAAGAAGTATACCCAAGTTTTTCTACTGAAATCATCAATAAAGATCAAGAAGTATTTTCTTTTACCAAAAGAAGGTGAATCAATTAGACAAAACATATCGGTGTGTATAAGTTGGATAGGCTTACTTGTTATTGATGTAGTCTCCTTTCGAAAACTCTTCTTTGCATGTTTTCCAAGAAGACAAGCTTCACAAAATTAATTTGGATGGTGGATTGGTTGTACCCATCAACCATGTTCTTGTCTTT